TAAATGAATACAATTTGTGTGTTGTTATTTCGGGTATAAGCTAGCCGAGGACGCAGCCTGCTCCTCCTTTTACAACACCTCCCAGTACTATCCTATGCTTTTGTTTTATTATTTTCACTTGTGTCTTCATTCTCTTATTTTTGTAATGCCCATGTCCCTACCCTGGTAAGTGGTATACTTCTCAAAACTTGTCCATGACATATACTGACTATTAGTAAGTCTGGCTATACCCGAGGCTGTGTTCCAGTGGGAGATGTTCTCCATACAGGATGTAGCAATACTGCTCCTCTCCAAAAGAGCCATCACAGCTGGGCCCTGCTTCATTCTGTTAAGAGAGCTTCAAAGCAGGGATGTCCATTGCTGTTCTGCTCCACTTCCCTAGCAGAGGTGTCCAATGCTTCTCTGTTCCACCCCACTATGGAGTTTCCTTAAAAAGATGTTAATTTTTTCTCAGCTCCAGCCAAAATTGTTACTTCTTTGCTTCAGTGGAGTTAATTGGAAAATGTTAAAGAAATGTTGCAGTCTCTAGTGAAGAGTTGCTACTTCTGCCCTGCCACTTTAAGGGAGTTTGCCAGCAGAGGTGACCAAAGCTTCTCTGTACCAATCCACTACAACATTTCTTATCAGTCCAGTGAAAGGTCTTAACCCAAAACTCATTCAAAAAATTTATTTAGAAGGGAAGAATCCAGGAGAGGGGCTGCCTCTTCCAGGGCAAAGATGGGCAGATACACAACTTATATAGGACTTCTTAGGGGCAGAGTTTTCCCAGCAAGAAGATTCTCAGGGTGGGAATTGGTTAGATGTCAACCCCTGATCTCGAATAATGCAGAGATTGGCTGGATTTCATGCTCAGGGATTGGTAGATCTCGAGCATAGGAATTAGCTGGTTTTGGTCAAGAGTAGAGTGTGTTCCTTTAGCTCTTGTTTCAGGGACAAAGTGTGTTCTTTCACTAGCCCCCTATAACCTTTTGAGTCTTGTTTCAGGGTCAGGTGTTTCTTTCATTGGCTCTGGATTCAGGAACAAAGTGTGTTTCCTTGTCTTGTTTTTAGAGTCAGGATGCATTTCTTTGGCTCCAGTTTCAGAGTCAAAATTATATATTTCACTGGCTCTGGATTTAGGGTCAGGATGTGTTTCTTTGGCTGGCCCATTTACTCTACACATAGGGCTTCATAAATTCACAAATTCATTTTACCATGAGTTTGTAAGTACAAACAGTATAAAAGGACATCATAATGCTTGAAAAGATTGTTAACACTGTCAAATTTATTTCTACGGAAGAAATAGTCTTGTGTTGTAGGCAGAGGATTCTTGTTCATTCCTGGCTGCCCAGACCTGAAATCATCACACAAAAACTATATTAATTAAAACACTGTTTGGCCTACTAGCTCAGGATTCTTATTAACTAACTCTGACATCTTATATTAACCCATTCCTATTATTTTGTATTTTATCACAGGACTTGTGATTTACCAGTAAGGTTCCAAGATATCTGACTTCTTCAGCCAATTCATGCAGTCTGACCCCACTTTCTTTTCTCCTCCATCTCTGCTTGGAATTCCTGCCTTGCACTATTCGGCCCTGCCATAGGCCCAAAGCAGCTTCTTTATTTAAAAATGGTAACAAAATACATTCACAGCATACAGAGGGGAATCCCAAATCATTGTGTAGCTGATTATAAGTGTTTTGGCTAAAGATCTTACCAAATACTTTATAATAAGAAGTACTCAGTATCTTTTTCAGGTAGTCAATGTCTATTGTAATATGCAAAGATTTTAACAGATTGTTGCACACAGTTTTACTCTTATATAAAAGTACAAAACTTTATCACACTGAATACATTTATAGGGTTTCTCTACAGTATTATTTTTTCCTCATGATTTAGATTATTCATACATACAAATGCTTTACCAAACTGATTACATTCATAGAGTTTATCTCCAGTGTGTGATCTTTTATACACTGGAAGAGTACTGTGAGGTACAATGGCTTTACCACATTCATTACATTCATAGGGCTTCTCTCCAGCATGTGTTAGTTCATATCTTTGAAGATGACTATGATAAACAAAGACTTTGCCACACTAATTGCATACCTAATGTTTTTCTCCAGTATGGGTTCTTTTATGTATTCGGAGACTCCTGCGATATGCAAAGGCTTTACCACATTGATTACATTCATAGGGTTTATCTCCAGTATGTGTTCTTTCATGTGCTTGGAGACTACGGTGACATGCAAAGGCTTTACCACACTGACTACATTCATAGGGTTTTTCTCCAGTATGGGTTCTTTTATGACTTTGTAGATGACTGTACTGTGTAAAGGCTTTATCACACTGATTACATTCATAGGGTCTTTCTCCAGTATGGATTCTTTTATGACTATGTAGATTACTGCGATATGCAAAGGCTTTACCACACTGATTACATTCATAGGGTTTTTCTCCAGTATGGATTCTTTTATGACTTTGTAGAACACTGTGACCTGTAAAGGCTTTACCACACTGATTACATTCATAGGGTTTCTCTCCAGTGTGTGTTCTTTCATGCCATTGAAGATTACTGTGACATGCAAAGGCTTTACCACACTGATTACAATCATAGGGTTTTTCTCCAGTATGGGTTCTTTTATGACTTTGTAGATGACTGTACTGTGCAAAGGCTTTGCCACACTGATTACATTCATAGGGTTTTTCTCCAGTATGGATTCTTTTATGACAATGTAGATTACTGCGATATGCAAAGGCTTTACCACACTGATTACATTCATAGGGTTTCTCTCCAGTATGTGTTCTTTCATGTCTTTGGAGCTTACTGTGACATGCAAAGGCTTTACCACACTGATTACATTCATAGGGTTTTTCTCCAGTATGGATTCTTTTATGACTTTGTAGAACACTGTGACCTGTAAAGGCTTTGCCACACTGATTACATTCATAGGGTTTCTCTCCAGTATGGGTTCTTTTATGACGTTGAAGATTATTGTGATAAGGAAAGGCTTTTCCACACTGATTACATTCATAGGGTTTTTCTCCAGTATGGGTTCTTTTATGACTTTGTAGATTACTGTGACATGTAAAGGCTTTACCACACTGATTACATGCATAGGGTTTCTCTCCAGTATGGGTTCTTTTATGACATTGTAGATTACTGTGACATGTAAAGGCTTTTCCACACTGATTACATTCATAGGGTTTCTCTCCAGTATGGGTTCTTTCATGACTTTGAAGATGACTGTGATAAGGAAAGGCTTTTCCACACTGATTACATTCATAGGGTTTCTCTCCAGTGTATGTTTTTTTATGCATTTGAAGATGACAGTGATGTGAAAAGGCTTTACCACACTCATTTCCTTCATAGGGTTTCAATCTAGTATGTGTTTTTTCATGCCTGTGAAGATGACTATCACATGCAAAGGCTTCAACACATTGAGTATATACAGAAGTTTTCTCTCCATTTTGACTTTTTTCATGCCTACAATGATAATGGTACATGTGAAAGCATTACTACATTTAATACATTGTTGAATATTTTTATCTGTAAAAATTAGTTTTACAATTTAGTCCTATTTTAAAGAGGAAATTTATGTTAAGGTTTTATCACCATGTTTACAATCTTGTTTTTCCCTTTTATTAAGGCTTGCTTTTTATCTTTGAAGATAACTGATAACAGCCTTTATTACATGGTTCACATTTATAGAATCTTTTTTTCTGTATGAGAATTTTTATATATTGAAGAGAACTGAAAAAACTCAGAGCTTTAAAACTCTTATTGTATTCATAAAGTTTCCTATACTGTGAGTGATACTACATTTGCTAAGTGAACTAGGACAACAGAAATATTTATACAGTCCTAGTACCCATGGTGCATTTCTGAAATGTGAGCTTGTTGGTATATTAACAATGAGGCTAGAAAACCAATTACTTGTATACTTGTACATCAAATTCAACAAGTATACTCAACATGGGGACTGCTACATATCTTCAATTTGTTCTGAGAGAGAGGTATGTTAGATCTTTTCACATCCCTATGTTCATGTGGCTTGTATCCAGAGTAACATATGATATACCTAGTAAAGGAAGAATAACAAATATAAGGTTTCCACATTGAGTTCACACAGTTTGACTTTCTGTCCTCATAGACTTGTGGTATCTGGATTAAGGCCTCTCCACAACAGCTGCCCCTTAATTTGTGACTCTAAATACCCCTAACTAAACTTAACACAGTCCCAAGTATATGGATTAAACTACCCTTTCTATGAACTATTAGTGTAATAGAGAATTTCAGAGATATACTTATCACCTTTTCAATATGTATATCTTTTATAATATGAATAATATAAAATAAATAGATTGACAATTTTACAGCATAACTCTCATTGTATTATGAGTCAAAAGGTAATATAGGTTAAGACATTGTTTCCTTGACTTCTTTCTTAAAAGAATGACTTGCAAATGCAGTTCATCTATCTGAAATTAAGGTCTATGATTTTGTGAGAATTTAATGATCATTAAAGCACTTTATTATTTACACTGTTGTGTAGAAGGAGCAGTGGGCTGGTGTTCCTGTAACCCAGCTCCCGGCTGCCTGGCTAGTTTATGCCCTGAAATAATAACACATAAATTATATTCTTTTAAACACTGCTTGGCCCATTAGTTCTAGCCTCTTATTGGATAGTTCTCACATCTTGATTAACCCATTTCTAATAATCTGTGTAGCATCATGAGGTGGTGGCTTACTGGGAAAGATTCAGCATGTCTGACCTGGCGGCTGGCTCCATCACGTCTGACCTCACCTCTCTTCTTCCCAGCATTCTATTCTGTCTACTCCACCCACCTATGTTCTGACCTATCAGGCCAAGCAGTTTCTTTATTAGTTAACCAATGAAAGCAACAGATAGACAAATGACCTTCCCACATCACTGTTGCTTTTGTTTAAAATGTATAGGATACATTACAAATTCTTCAGAGGTACATTTGCATCAGCTTATACATGAAAATTACCTTTCATGTCTTCTAGAACTTTGACAATGTTCTTCAATATTATGGTCTTCCCAACTGTATCCTAAAATATAGTCCCAAAAAATGTGTGTTATATATTAAAAATTGTAAAAAAAAAAAATACTTACCATTTGAAGCAAACCTTACAGCCATGCCTGATTATTTACCCCATTCTTCTTTCTCAATCATATTACAAAGGAGCATCATTAACCAATGAACAGTTGTCCCCTTATATGAAACATGAAAGATAATTCAGTCTTACCTATAGTAGTGAGGTTTCTGTAGGTCTCCAGCATCACATCTTTGTAGAGATTCTTCTGGGAAGGATCCAGCAAAGTCCATTCTTCCCAAGTAAAGTTGATATGCACATCATCATAGGTCACTGCATTCTAAAACATCCCATACATGTTTACAACAGAAAGCATGATTTTGACAACACTGTAAATGTATACTTCTTTGACAGTATAGTCATATAATTCTCGTGCTCCCCATACTTATTTCATGACATCATAATTTAATCACCAAGTCACTTTAGAAGCAAACTGAATCCAAAGTTCACCATTGTCATTTCTGAACCCTATGAATGGGATATCACCTTGCAAGAGAAATGCCTACTAACCAACAATGAAAGATACGTAAACAGATCAACAGTACAGAGTACAGATAAGAGAAATTGTATGAAGGATTAATTCCTAACTACAAAAAAGGAAAATAAGATGAAAAAGCTGGATGTACTGCACTGAATAATGCCTCTAATCCTTGCACTCAGAAGGTAGAGAGGCATGTATGTCTATCTGACTCTGAATTGAATACCAGCCTAGTCCATGCAATCACTTTTAGAACAGCCAGAAATACATATTAAATACCCATTTCACATGAAAAAAATCAGTCAACCAAACATAAAAATAGATATAGATGAAAATAAGTCATAGGTTTTAACTGAAGTTTCTACAAAGAGTTATGCATTCACTTCAACTATCTACAAGAAACCTGAAGTGCCCCAATTAAAATGCAACATAAATAAGATTTTACTAAAAGACACTGTGTGTTTAAAAAGTTACAAATGGACAAATAAAAACAATAGCAATTAATATGCTGATTACAAATAATCAACACAGAGCAGGAAAGATGGCTCAACAGCAAAGAGTCCTCCTGATCTTGCATATAGTTGGTTTCAAGGACTTACATGGGGGATCATAACTATCCATGATTCCAAGTTCAGGGTTTCTTTTTTTATTTATTTATTTATTTATTACATATACAATATTCTGTCTGTGTGTATGCCTGCAGGCCAGAAGAGGGCACCAGACCCCATTACAGATGGTTGTGAGCCACCATGTGGTTGCTGGGAATTGAACTCAGAACCTTTGGAAGAGCAAGCAATGCTCTTAACCTCTGAGCCATCTCTCCAGCCCCAAGTTCAGGGTTTCTAATACCATCTTTTGATCAATGTAAGGACCAGGCACTCACATGGTGCATATCCATGCATACAGGTAAAATACTCTTTTTAAAATAAAAATTCAAAACAAATAAAACAAGCATGAAGAAGGTTAAGCACCTGCAATCCAATGACTCAGAAGGCACAGGCAGTATTAATGCCATGAATACTTGCCATCCTGGGAAACATAATGATACCCTCTGTCAAATTTTAAAATTCAAGATATGAGTGAAGCTCAGTACAACAGCATATGCTTGATAGGAACAAAACCATCATACAACAATATAAAAAGAAAAAAGCCAGAAATACTGGCCCACCTTTCATCCCAGCACGTGGGAGTCAGAGTCAGAGGATCTCTGAGTTTGAAGACAGCCTGGTATATATATAGAGAGAGAGAGCTACATTCAGGACAGCTAGGGCTACACAGACAAACCTTGTCATCAAAAAAAAAAATGAAAACAGTAGGTTACCAAACCAGCTTAGCACCAAACAGCAGTTAATTCTACTGAATCTTATATGACTTAGTGATAGAGTTTATGATGGTGGGAAGTTATGACAGCAAAAGAAAAATGGTGACTGATTAGTTTCAAACACAGTAGGCACAAAGAACAGGAAATGGGTTGAGGCTATAGAAACTCATATTATAGGAGTCCCCTCTGTATGCTGTGATTATCATTGGTTAATAAAGAAACTGCTTTGGGCCTATAGCAGAGCTATAGGACAGAACTTAGGTAGGTAGTGAAAACTAAACTGAATGCTGGGAGGAAGAAGGCGGAGTCAGAGAGAAGTCATGTAGCTCTGCTGGAGACAGATGCTAAGAACTTTATCTGGTAAGCCACAGCCACATGGCGATACACAGATTAAGAGAAATTGGTTATGTTAATATGTAAGAGTTAGCCAGTAAGAAGCTAGAGCTAATGGGTTAAGCAGTGATTTAATTAATATAGTTCCTGTGTGATTATTTTGGGGCTGAGCAGTTGGGAACAAACAAGCAGCCCTCCTTACTATATCATATCACATCACCAATGAGAAATTACATCCAGAAAGGCTCCTTCTACTAATGGTTTCACAAGCAATCAAATGAAAGTTACCAAGAAGAGGCACATGTTAAAATATATCCTCCTCTCTGGGAGGTTTTTCATTCACTCAATTACATTTTGACCTGGGTTACTATAGGCTCATGGTGATCCATGAAGAAAATTAATTTAGTCACTTCAATGATACTCATAGTCTGCAATAGCCTCTACACTGTTCAACTGTTCAAAGTCTCTTCTGAAGCTCAAGACAATCACTTGACAATGACTTTTTGACAGAGATTTCTGTCCCACTTGGTCCCACAATCATTCAGTCCCAAAGAAACACACAAAGGTCTACATTAATTATAAACTGGTTGGCCTATTAGCTCAGGCTTCTTATTAACTAATTCTTACATCTTAACGTTAGTACATACTTCCTGTGTCTGTGTTAGCCACATGGTTTGGTACCTTTTATGAGTGAGGCATTCTCATCTTGTTTCCTCTGCATCTGGGTGATGACTGCTCAGAGCCTTTCCTCTTCCCAGAATTCTCCTGTTCTGGTTATCCCACCTATCCTTCCTGCCTGGTTACTGGTCAATCAGTAAACCAACACAAGTGACAAATCTTTATAAGGTATAAGACCATTGCCCCACAATAAGAAACATCTTATAAAAATCAGAAAACAAGTTACATCTTTCCAACATATAATGGTACAGAATACCATTCACACTTCAAAACAGAGAAATGGAGGCATAGTGGGGGAAGATTGAACCAAGGCAAGACTGAAGAATAGCAGGACAAACATCAAATCCTGAAGCTCTTTCTTAGATGCACAAGGCTTCAGTTTCAGAGGGCTTAGATGGCCCTATCCCTGCATCTTCTCATACATCTCTCTGGTTACTTCCACTCACTATATTCACTTAGTTCTCCATAGAAGATGTCTTATAGTTTAGGCATCTCAATATCTTGTGGTATCAAAATACAACCCTGGTTGTTGTGGAATATTATTGTAAGATGTGTTATATTTGTTTATGTTGTGAAACAATTGTTTCAATGATAGAAATATGTGTTACATTCTTTTATGTTGCATTTGTTTAATTCTGTGAAGCTGTGATACTGGGATGGTCTAAAATGAACAGTCAGTAGCTTGGTAGGAAAGTATAAGATGGGTTGGCAGGCAGAGAGAATAAATGGGAGGAGAGATTTTGGAGGGAAAAAGGAAGGATGACAGAGAAAAGGAGAGAAAAGCATGGGCCAGCCACTCAGCTACACAGCAAGCCACAGAGTAAGAAGTAAAAAAAAATGTATACAGAATAGAGAAAGATAAAAGCCCAGAGGCAAAGGTAGATGGGACAATTAGTTTTAAAAAAAAAAAAAAGCTGGCTAGAAACAAGACAACATAAGACCAGGAATTAATAAGAAATAATAAGCCTCAGTGTATGTCATTTTTTGAGACCTGGGTGGCAGGCCCCCAAAAGAGTAAAAACAACAACAAAAAACAGGTTTCATCCTCACAGCTTCATGAAATGAATTCTCACAATCTCTTCACTGGGTTTCTGACTTTGCCAAACATGGAAGCCAGTAACAATGCTGAGTTGTAACTACAAACTAAGAACCCATTACCTTAAATTTTGATTCTTTCTTATTTCCAGGAGCAGCACAGGATGAGTGCCTGAAAAGTTTAACTTCTTAATTGAAAGACACTAACACACTCGGACCACAGGCACAGCAGGTTTTGTATGAAGTTGCTTCCTAGGACTAGGAATCACTTTGCTTACTCCCTACATAAATTGAAGGTTTATGTGGATGGAGTGTTACTCCTGGAGCACCTTGCTAGACATCCATTCCATGGCAAGGGCCTTCTCTATAATAGTAATAAACTCCTTTAAAAATCCCCACTTCTTCCAGTAATTGGCTGCCACCTGAAACTAGATTTTCATTTTCATTTATTTCAGCCCCACTTGTTTTCTTTTTACTGTAGACCTGAACGAATCATTAGGAATAACCATCCAATAGATCCAATATTTCATTTAAGGAATCAACCCATTATTTTTTAATTGTGCTTTACTAAATTTCAAGATCATAGGCAGAAAAAGAAAGATTTTGGAGCCAAAATATCATATAAATGACCTCAACTTAATCTGCTATGGAGTCTATCATTTCCAATTGAAATCCTATAATCTCAATCTCTTGTAGGAGGATGGGGTTGGCTTGTTGTCCCAGCTGCCCAGCTAGCTTATGCCTGAAATAACCACACAGAAATTGTATTAATTAAATCACTGCCTAGCCCATTATCTCTAGCCTCTCATTGGCTAACCCTCACATCTTGATTTAACCCATTTCTCTTAATCTATGTTTTGCAACATGACAATGGCTTACCAGGAAAGATTCAGCATGTCTGACTCTAGTGGCTCCATGGTGGTTCCCTGACTCTGCTTTCTTCCTCCCACAATTCAGTTCTGTCTTCTCTACCTACCTAAGTTCCAACCTATCAAGGGTCCAAAGCAGTTTCTTTATTAACCAATGAAAGCAACACAAAGACAAAAGGACCTCCTACACTCATCTCTACTTTCTGGCATTCCTCTTAACATTTCCATCTTCC